GGGGGGGGGGGGGGGGGGGGGGGGGGGGGGGGGGGGAGGATGGGGGGAGGGAGGGAGCGGGATGAGGGATGAGGCTGCACCTGACCCTTCCCTGCCCTGCCCTCCGCGGCGGCGCAGTCCGGACGCCCCGAGGTCCCGGATCGGCGACCCCCGGTGGACAGAGATCGGCCCGAGCCCGGAGACGAGCTTTCCCACGGAGGCCCCCGGCTGCAGAAGCTGGAAGCGGAATAAAGGCGCGCGCGCCTGTTCCTGCGCTCCCGTGAGAATCTGAGAAATAACGGGGGAGGGGAGAACTTTGAGAAGGGGGTGTGGTTGGGACCTGAGACCAGGAGGTTGATGAGACCTTATTTATTCCTACAAATCTGTGACCACTGTGCTCTATTTTGAGAGGCCAATATCAGCTTCCATCCACTATTACACTTAGAAGCAACAGTTGCCCTCCCTCCTCCTGGACGACGGGCGGGAGGGGATGGATGTGGCTGTAAAAAGCACCCTGCTAACAACGGAGACACCGGCTGGCTCCGTGAGCTTGTAATTGCCGGTCTCCTGGAGGATATTTTTAGGGCAGTGGGCAGATATAAACTGTACTGCAGGACATTCAGGAAGGGAGAGAATACCATTGCAGCCAGTTCCTTTATTAACTACTCCCCGTTTTTGTTTTGTTTTGTTTTCTTTTCTTTTCTTTTTCTTTTTCTTTTTTACAGTCCCTACTGAGACAGGAGGAAGGCGGAGTGCCCCAGCGCGCCCGCAGATTAGGCATTTCCACGGCGCCTGAGCGTCTTGTTATACTCGGATCCCCACCCCCCCACCCCCACCGCATCGTCGTCAGTCATGGCTAGCATCATTGCGCGCATGGGTAATAGCCGGCGGCAGAACGCACCGTTGCCGCCCTGGGCCCATTCTATGCTGAGGTCCCTGGGGAGAAGTCTCGGTCCTTTAATGGCCACCATGGCCGAGAGAAACATGAAGGTGTTCTCGGGGAGGGTGGTGCCAGCCCAGGGGGAAGAAACCTTCGAAAACTGGCTGATCCAAGTCAATGGGGCCCTACCCGATTGGAATATGTCTGAGGAGGAAAAGCTCAAGCGCTTGCTCAAAACCCTGCGAGGCCCCGCCAGGGAGGTCATGCTTTTGCTCCAGGCGGCCAACCCCAACCTAAGCGTGGCTGATTTCTTGCGCGCCATGAAATTGGTGTTTGGGGAGTCTGAGAGCGGTGCGTCCGCTCACGGTAAATTTTTTAACACCCTGCAGGCACAGGGGGAGAAAGCCTCCCTTTATGTGATCCGTTTAGAGGTGCAGCTCCAGAACGCTATTCAGGCAGGGATCATAGCTCAGAAAGATGCCAACCAGAGTCGCCTGCACCAGCTCCTTATAGGGGCCGAGCTGAACGGGGACCTGCGCTTTAGGCTGAAGCATCTTCTTAGGATGTACGCAAATGAGCAGGAGCGACTCCCCAGTTTCCTAGAGTTAATCAAAATGGTAAGAGAGGAAGAGGATTGGGACGACACTTTCATTAAGCAGAAACGGCCCAAAAGATCTGAGCCCGTGGTGGAGAGGGCCACCAGCCCAGTGGCCTCCCAGGGCTCCCCCCCGATAGTGGTGGACGGTGCTGACTGCAACGTCATAGAGATAGACGACGTCCTCGAGGACTCCGACGAGGATGTGATCCTAGTGGAGTCTCCGGACCCTCCACTGCACTTTTTGGCGTCTCCTCTCCCCAGACGCAGGCCCAGACCTCGGGACCGAGTGCTAGTCATTGACTCCCCCAGCAGTTCCCGGGCTCAGTCTCCTTCCACCAGTGGGGGTTCGGGGTATAAGAATGATGATCCTGGGAATCTGCGTAGAGCCAGGAAGCGAAAACACGCGATCCGCTGTTCATACTGCGGTGAGGAGGGCCACTCGAAGGAGACCTGTGACAATGAGAGCAACAGGGCCCAGGTGTTTGAGAATCTGATCATCACCCTGCAGGAGCTGACCCATACGGAGGAGGAGGGGCCGCGAGAGGCCCCTGGCAAACAAGATGACCCTTCCGAGCCGCAGCGAGGTGGTAGCCCCCGGCCTTAAGTGAACCCTTAACCCAAACTCCGAGTCCAGCAATGGGACGACTAGGGAGGGGCGCTTCTAATTGCATGAATCCACCAAGCAGCTTTCTTTGCGGAGCGGAGCAGAAAGGGTCTTGGATACCAGCTCAGTGGAGGGAGACGGCCTGACCTCTGCCCTTGCTTCCCCACTCCCTCTCTGCTGCCTAAGGGTCTGTTTTCTTTGTGTGCCCATTTCTTTGATGGCTTTATTCTCTTTGTGAAAGTGGCATAATGCATCGTTAAACCTCCAAACAATAAAAGTACAAAAAAGTCAAGCACCAGTTACCCCAAACTCTCCACCCTGATCTAACCATTGTCAACCCTTTGACGAATGTCCTTCTAGATATTTCCCTCTACCTATGTACCCAGATATATGTGCAGATAAAAGTGATCAAATATAAGTGCTGTTCGATAGTCTGTATTTTTTCACCAAACAATGTATGTCGTGGGCTTCTTTCTATGTCAATAAATATATATCAGCATCTATTTTAATGTCTCTGTGTTACTCTTTTAGGAAAAGGTAAAGAAAAAGGAACAAGAGAAATATAGTACAAAGCTATAAAGGGGTGCAGTTGGACCCCCGGGTGGGGTTCTGATCAACCTCAATTTGCAGCTGTGGTAAAGGGATGAAGAAATGGGCTGAAATAGTCCCCAGAGGGAGATGGACAGAGCCCCTTGCCACAACTGGCCTGTCCCGCAGGTCATACAGCCAGATTATGGCACCCACTTGTTGACCGCCCCAATGCTTTCTTCCTCTCTACTGTATCCAAAGGAGTCCAGTGGAGGGGCCTGGCGCTGAGGTAATAGCCCCCAAGTGGGGGACCCCGGGGACGCCGTTCCTGGTCACTTCGGGGGAGCAGCGCTCTTCCTCCTCCAGATGGATTCCTTGGATTGTTGTAGCTCCTGCTGCTTGTGGACATCCCGGTCCCAACGTGGGATCTCTCCTGGGGCCCCGACGCCACCGCTCCTCACTCCCCAGTCAAGGGAAGGAGAGGCCATCTCCTCCTGGGAGCCCAGCCCGGGAGGCTCAGCTCCTGATAGAGCCAGAGCCTCCCCCCATAAGCCCTGAAGGGATCTGCTGGAGGACACAGGCGCCCCCGAGGACTCCAAGGCAACCCCTCCCCACCCCAAGAATTGAGACTAGCTGCCATCAGAGTTGCCCGATGGCACCTGAAGTACTGGTGATCAGAAAGCCCGGGAAGCCCCACCCCGCATTTCAGTCGAGTGGAGGGCGCTCACGGGGGAGGGAGGGAAAGAACAGGTGGACCTTCCTGGAACCTGCCCTGTCTCATCTCTGGATCTCATTTTGGAGGGTGATAAAAGAGGACGCGTGTGGCCCCAGCCCCAGAGGGCCCCTGGGTCTTGGGTAGGGGCACATGTCCCTATTTCTGTGAACAGGACACGGCTGGGGGTGGGGGGTGATTGCATTTAGGGCAGGGTGCCGAGAGGGAACCGAATGCCAGAACTGAGGCCCCCCGGGGGGCATTTGTCGTGCCTGAAATGGGGACTCCACCGAGCTGAGAGGTTACCATAAACAGCAGTGGCAGCGGGGGGGGGGGGGGGGGGGGGGGG